GCGCCCTGCGCCCCGCGCTGCCCGCGCGCCCGAGCCGGCAGGGGTTTCTCTCCCCCATCGCGGTCATGTCTCCGGGTCCGGCCCGGCGGGGTGGCGCGGCCCAGGCCCCGGCGCCTGCGGCGAGCGACCGCCAGGGACCATGATCCGGCTAGGCTGCTGGTGTGCGCGGCGGCCCCGCGGCGCGGCGTTCCCCGCGGGGCGGCGCTGGGGGTCGGGCGGGCCGGCGGGCCGGGCGGGCGGCCGCTCCCTGCGGGTGCTGGTGGACATGGACGGCGTGCTGGCCGACTTCGAGGGCGGCTTCCTCAGGAAGTTCCGCGCGCGGTTCCCCGACCAGCCCTACGTCGCGCTGGAGGACCGGCGCGGCTTCTGGTTGTCGGAGCAGTACGGCCGCCTGCAGCCCGGCCTGAGCGTGAGCACCACCCCCCGCCCCCCGCCCCGGCCCCGCTCGGCGCCGCCGCCGCGGGGCCGCCGTTCCCGCTCCGGGGCCCCTAGCCCAGCCCGGCGGGACTGAGGCCCTCCTTCCCGGTCCTGGGCCGGGAGTCCGCGTGACCTTGGGTGGGTCATCGCCCCGAGCCTCGGGGTAGTCCTCGTGTGAAAGGGGGGCCTGGGGAGGACCGAGGCGCGCAGGAGCTGGTGGCTGTCCTCGCCAAAGCGAGAATAGGAAGCGTAATATACTGTCTTCAGCAGACTTCTTAAGTTTTGGTGCATTTGGCCACGAGTCTTTTAATTTTTTAAATGAGATAAACGTTACAGGTAAAGTCCTCTTTGACCCCTGCCACAGTCACGTGCCCACTTCTTCGTCCTCGCGAATTTGCTGAGTGTCTTTACCATTCTTTTTTTTTTGCCCTTTTCCATGAATGCATTAGCTCCCAGTGGTATTTGAGGTCCAGAGAAGTGCAGCGCTGCACATCACACAATGCGTCAGTGGTCAAGATGGGGTGGGATCAACTCCTTGGTTTATCCCCTTGCTCTGGCGGCCCTGCTGAACCTGAGCCCGCCACATCCCCTTGACTCCTGATGTGCTCTGCTCTCTGAGTCCGCGATGCATGGAGGGGAAATATCCAGGCACGTTTATAGACAGATGGCTTGGTTTGTGAGCTTAAACTGTTTGGTGAAAGGAACAGGATTTTGCCTTGCCCGCTTAAAGAGGCTGGATGTTTTCTGGCATCCCTTGGTTGGCCACCTAGGGTCACCTAGGTCACCAGAAGTTTGATGATGATGCTGCTGATGGTATTATTAGAGCCTATTTTGTATCCGTAGGTTGACTGCATTATCTCCCATGTGAGATAGACATTATATCTCTTATCATGCAGGCGAGGAAACTTGTCCTAAGTCAGATAGACAGTAAGGGGCTCAGCCAGGATTGGAACCCAAGTCCGTCTGCCTCCCAAGCACATTTAGCTTTCGCCACCCCAAAGTCCTCTTCTCTGTCCTGCTCTAACAAGTAACTTTTCTTTCGACTTAGAAAAGGTTACTTGACAATAATTGGTTTGTTGAGAGGCAGGTTGAAAAGAAAATCAAGCACCATGTCCCTCTTAACACCATGCACTTCAGAAGGTGACTTTCCCAGAGTTCTGTGTGCTCACTCCTCCCAGCTCTAATGGCTGATTACCAACTTCGAAGTGGAGAGAATACCCTAGTAATTTTTTTGCGGCCTCAGTAACATACCCCCCTGCTCTGTGTGTGTGTTCGTTTATAGACGGTGCACGGTATTGACAGTCTGGGTACCTTGTTTCCTTCCAGAAGTGTATTAGGGCAATAAAATAAAGCCCGTCCCCGATCCTGGAAAGGACAGTGGTTTTTGTAGTCCTTTGTACAAGTGTGCAGGCCCCAGGACTAAGGAGATGAATTACCATTTTCTAAGGACGAGGCAAAGGAACAGAGCTCCTGGGACACGAAGGAAGGGGTGTTCTGGGAGTGACATGCTGAGTTCTGCTTCTGGGAACATTGCAGGAAATGGGATTTTAATAAATGAACACGTGCCCTTTATCCCCAGCACAGCTCACAGCAGGACATCCCCGGGTCTCACCTGGGCTGAGCTGGCCCAGCATCTACAGTTAAAGACAACCAATCAGTCAACCCAGCTTAATTATGTAGGCACATCTGCTTTACAAAACACTGCTCTATCTGTATCCCCTTTGGTCTCCATGGTGCTCTGAGGGGTCACCGGGGCTGAGGTGGAAGGCAGTGCTCATTTTAACTGACTTGGAATCCCGCGTGGTCAGAACAGTTGAGGAACTGAGCCCAGAGACAGGAAGTGCCTTGACCAGGGTTTCAGAGCCCAGTTAGTGATGGAAGGAGGGAGAGGTGGCTGGGACGCGATTACTGAGGTGAGGTGGTTAGCCCGGGGTCACACAGTAAGGGGCCAGGACCTCTTACCCCTCTGTCGAGTGTGCTTTCCACCAGCCTATGCTGCCTCTGTGTGAGTCAGAAGCCGTAAGTCATGTTCTGACAGTATCACCCATAAGTGGCCTTGAAAAAGAAATCCTCTGTAAACGTCAGTTTCCTTATCAGTAAGCCAAGGATAGCAATTCTTGCCCCTTGTGGGATGTGAGGCTCAAACAAGAGAGAACAGACATTAGCAAGAGTTACTCGTTTGCTTAATCCCACACAGTTTGCAAGAATATGGCCAGTGTGATCTCAGGGTTCTCCCCGCCCGTATGACACGGTGGTTCTGGAGCGTGTGGCCTCTGGCCTGGCAGAGACCCTTGCCGCACCACATACATGGGGTTCAGGTTCCTGCTCCTCAGAGGCCTGGGTCTGTCTTCCTTCCCCTTGTCCCAGGCCTGGAGAACTGTGGCATTCTGCACACTTGGTTTTGGCCCCGTAACACGAGGTAGAAACTTCTAGCCTGGGACTTGGGAGGTGGTGTTCAGCTCTCAGCAATGCCACCGTTCTGCTGGGTGACATTTCAGAAAAACCCTTCCCTATTCAGAGCCTTGATTTTCTCGTATGACAGATGCAGGTCTGGATTTTTGGCCTTCAAACTTTATTTATTTTTTTTAACAATTTTTTTAATGTTTATTTTTGACAGAGAGAGAGAGAGAGAGAGAGACAGAGCATGAGCGGGGGAGGGGCAGAGAGAGGGAGACACAGAATCCGAAGCAGGCTTCAGGCTCTGAGCTGTCAGCACAGAGCCCGACGTGGGGCTCGAACTCACAAACCGTGAGATCATGACCTGGGCCGAAGTCGGACGCTCAACCGCCTGAGCCATACAGGCGCCCCATGGCTTTCAAACTTTAAAAGCTGCAGAATACGTTTTACACAAAGTACTTACTGACATATCAATGCACAAAGCAGACAAAAGGGCTGTCGTAGTTGGTATGAGTGAGGAGCCTGGAGTTCTGCTCAACTGGCCTTCCACCTGCTCTCCACCAGCCCCCCCTTAACCTACACTGCACAGAGGTGGGCTGAAAAATCTCTAAGTTCCTCCAGCTCTTGAATTCAAGGACTCTAGTGCCATGGCAAGACCTGGTCCACCCTCAGAGCTTCTACAATGCCTCTGGCCGTTCTAATCAAGCAAGTGCATATGATTCATGACCTACCTTGGGTCCCAGGTGGCCCTAGCCGTGCCTCTAGCAGAGCAGGCTTCAGAATTCATGGCCCCTGACACCTTAGCTGGTCTCTGCTGGATCCTTGCTGAAGTCGGAGCCCCTGGAGAGGGGCTGGAACACACATACTCCATGTGACCTGCCCTCCCCCTGGGATGTGTCCTTGTGTGTGTGTGTGTGTGTGTGTGTGTGTGTGTGTGTGTGTGTGTGTGTGTTGGGGGGTAAGGGGAGCGTGGAAGGCTCACACTCTTATTGTCAGCAGCTCTTCCCAGCTGTGCCATCCTTGTGGTGAGGCAAGGTGCTGAGTACCCTGTAAGTCGCATGTTTCTCTCTCGTCTTCTTAGGAGAAGGCCATTAGCATATGGGAATCGGAAAATTTCTTTCTTGACCTGGAGCCTCTCCCGGGGGCTGTGGAAGCTGTGAAGCAGATGGCCAACCTAGAAAAGTAAGTTTGTCTTCCCGCCTGAGTATTTGCACCTTCCCCCTGCCGGCGCCTTCCCTTCTCCCCTGCTGCCCCACCCTCTGCCGCCCTGCCTTCTCTCTCCCTCGTCCCTGCACAGGCCTCCATGCTTGTTTCTTCAGCCCTGGACATGGTAACACCCTGAGTGACACACACTCGGCCTGTAGGCTAGTAAGGTGTTTTGATCCAGTAACAGGAGAAAATATTGAGTCTAATGGGACCTGGGTGACTGGGTGCTGGATGAGCCCGTATTCAGCAAATATCTGAGAACCGACTCTGTTAGATGCTCCTGGACACCAGTGATACAGAGACAAACAACACATCGTCCCGCCATCTTGGAGCTCACAGCCCTGCCGGAGAGTGGGTGCTGACGTTAAAGAATCTCACAAGCAGAGATAATCACGGGCTGTGATCAGTGCTGAAAAGGAACAGAGTAGGGGGTACGAAGGGGCCTAACGGGAGACCTAATGAGAAAGGTGGTGAGGAAGCAGTATTGTGTGAGGTGTTTCTGTTTGCTTCTGGTGGAGCAGTTGCTTCTGTGAGCTGAAGCTCCCGCTCCATAACCACCCACTAAAATCCATCAGCAGTTACAGATGATGGCCTTCCCTGAGGACTTAAAACAGAAAACACAAAAGCCATCCTGAGATGTAGTTCGCGTGCCGTACAGCCATTTAAAGTGTCTAATTCAACGGGTGTGTTCGCAGAGTTGTGCACTCATGACCATGGTCAACTTCAGAACACTTTCATCACCCCCAAAAGAAACCCTAAACCCATCAGCAGTCACCACCCCTTCTTCTCATTCCCTTGCAACCCTAGGCAGCCACCGTCTACTCTAAGTCTCTGTAGATTTGCCCGTGCGAGACATTTCATGTGCACTTCATGTACATACACTGTGTGGTCTTTTGTGATTGGCTTCTTTTATGCCGTCTTGTGTTTTCAGGGTTCATCTGCTTCCTAGCACAAATCAGTACTTCATGGCTGGGTAATATTCCACGGTACGGATATGCCACGTTTTGTTCATCTGTCCATCAGTTAGTAGACACTTGGGTTGTTTCTGCTTTTTAGGTATTAAGAATAATACTGCCATGGACACTCATGTACAAGTTTTGTTTTTTTTTGTTTTTTTTTGAACGTTTATTTATTTTTGAGACAGAGAGAGACAGAGCATGAACGGGGGAGGGTCAGAGAGAGGGAGACTCAGAATCTGAAACAGGCTCCAGGCTCCGAGCTGTCAGCACAGAGCCCGACGTGGGGCTCAAACTCACGGACCGCGAGATCATGACCTGAGCCGAAGTCGGCCGCCCAACCGACTGAGCCACCCAGGCGCCCCAAGTTTTGGTTTTTTTTGTAGTCATATGTTTTCATTTTTCTTAGGTGTATATATACCTAGGAGCAGAATTGCTGGGTCTTGCGGTAAATCCATGTGTAACATTTTGGGGACTGCCAAACTTTTCCAAAGTGACAGTACCATTTGACATTCCCGTTAGCAATGGATGAGGATTCCATCACACCCTTGCTAACACTTGTGGGCTTTGTTTTTTTTTTTTTTTTAAAGGAGGCTTCACACACAGCATGGAGCCCAGTGCAGGGCTTGAACTCATGCTCTGAGATCAAGACCCAAGCTGAGATGCAAAGTTGAATACTTATAACCAACCGAGCCACTCAGGCTCCCCGTGTGGTCTTTTTTATTGTAGCCGTCCTAGTGGGTGTGAAGAGATATCTCATCGTCCTTTTGATTTGCCATTTCTCTGAGGGCTTATGCTTTGAGCATCTTCTTGCGTGATTTTTAACCATATGTTTATCCTTTTTGGAGAAATGTTTGTTCAGATCCTTTCCTACTTTTTTTCAATTGGGTTATCGATCTTTTTTATTGCTAATTTTTGAGAGTTCTTTATTTTAGATAACAAGTCCCTTATCGGATATATGATTTGCAAATATATTCTCTCATCCCATGTGGATTGTTGCTTTACTTTCTTGGTGGTGTCCTTTGAAACCCAAAGTTTTTATTTAGATATAGTTCACTTTACCTGCTTTTCTCTTTTGCCCCTGTGTTTTTGCTGTCGTGTCTAAGTATCATTTGCCTTAGCCAAGGTCACAAAGACTTGCTCCTGTGTTTTCTTCTAAGAACTTTATAGTTTTAGCTCTTCCATGTAGGTCTTTGATCCATTTTGAGTTAATTTTTGCATAAAGTGTAAGGAAGGGGTCCCACCTCAATCTTTTGTCAGTGAAAATCCAGTTCTCAGAACCATTTGTTGAAAAGACTCTTTTTTCCTTCTATTGAATGGTCTTGGCTTCCTTGACAAATATCAACTGACCATAAGTGTTTAAGATTTATTTCTAGACTTGCATAAACTTTTATTGGTCACAGTTTTGCTTGAATTTACCAGCCTGCATGACCAATCAAACATAAGGTATGATTTGGTCTTTACTGTGCCATATAAATGCCTCCCCAAATCATCAGTGTTCAAAGTTCCACCATTAGAACTTTGAGTTAGAGTTTTTCAGACTCATTTGGTTGGCAGTTTAGTTTTAGACTTGAGTCAGGTCCTGCAGAGTACTGTGTTTCATTCTGGTTTATGATTTGAACTTGATTTATGGTGGAATACTGTTGTATGACTTCTTCCACCTACAGGAAGAGCCTAGAGGGGCAAAGTGTATGCGTATCTGCACTGAAGCTGTTCAAAATTCTATTTGGGTTTGGATCAGCGTTTCCTGGACCGCATTCAGCCAACTGTATTCTGGGGTGCTAGATGGCATAGTGGTTAAGGCTATATCCTAACTGGAGTTGGGCTGCCCAGGCTCACACCCGGGCTTTTCCTGAATCTAACTTTCAGATGTTGGGCAAATTATTAAACTTTCTGGGTCTCAGTTTCTTCAAGTGTAGAAGGAGGGTTATGAGAAAGTCCTCAGTATATATAGCTCCTGGCACATGGTAAGTGCTCAGTAGATGTTAGCTGCTGTGGTTACTATCCTGCAAGATTTAATAGATACGCAACAAAAAAGTATTCTTTAACCAAAACAGTATGGGGGGTATTGGATTAAGATCAGACTTCTAAGGGCTTCCAGATTGCTGGTGTGTGCATCATGACCCTTCACTGGGGTAGCAGAGGATATAGCATTCTTCATATGTATTCTAGCCTAGAACACTTTTCCCCCCACAGCTTCCCTGTTAACGCTTTTGTGAAAATGCAAGTCTAGACCATACCACAGGTCTTGTACTTCCATTTGGCTCCTAACAGGGTAGATTCCTAAGGTCAGTCAGCGCCCAAAGTTTGGACAGAGAGAGAGAGGGATCTAGTCAGTAACTAAGTGGATAGCTTTGTATCTCGTACCGAAGTAGACAGAGGCCAAGGTTTAAAATGTTACTTAAGGAATATTTGTCAGGCATCTGTTACATGCTAGGCTTCCTAGAAGATGCTGCAGATACAGAAGTAGGTCAGAGATCTTGCCTTCAAAGAGTTCACTAGTAAACAGATGACTAGAACATAGTTCTAGAAGTGGTGTAGTAGATGTATGAATACAGAAGCCAGGGGCTAATACTCCCCAGAGGAGGTGGCGACACTTGAGCTGTCATCTTGAAAAATGAAAAGGGATCTGGCAGGTGCAGAAGGCAAGGGGGTGTCAGGTAGGAGGGGAACAGTGAGCGAATACTTTATCTGCCGACTGTCCTAAAACAGCCTCCCTGGCATGCTGTGTCCTTCCTCCACCAGCACTGAGCAGGGGCTGTGCTTCCTTGGACTATCTTCAGTGGCAACTACCCTTTTTTTCTTAGTGTTTATTTTTATTTTTTGGTGGGGGAGGGGCAGAGAGAGAGGGGGACAGAGGATCCAAAGCAGGCTCTGTGCTGACAGCAGAGAGCCCGAAGCGGGGCTTGAACTCACAAACCTCGAGATTGTGACCTGAGCCAAAGTCGGACGCTCAACTGACTGAGCCACCCAGGTGCCCCTACCCTT